ACTTTTTGGATACTTTGTGCCTTATGTTCACTTGGTAAGTATGCATCCTTGGCTCTGCTTGTAGTAAATATCATCAGGTCACACAGGGAGATCTATTTAGATGAGCAAGACATATCAGATCGAAGTCTCTTTCAGACATTGTCCTGGTTGTGACCCCAGACTCTGGGAATGAAAGGTATTTCAGACAACAAGGACAGTTCCCCCATCAGACAATCAAACAAAGGGTCTAATTGTATGCTTCAGCATTTAAAATCCCAAACAAAAGCAGTTTTTAAAAGGGCGACTAAAATCTTGGAATGAATTATATCAAGGTAAGATATTTGAAATGGGTAAGATGTCTTAATGGAGAAAGGCACTTGCTGCCAAGCCTGACAGGCCGAGTTTGATGACTGGAATCCCCCGTGGTGGGAGGAGCAAACCAACTCCCGACCGACCGTCTTCCTCTAACCTTCACTGGGAACCCCTCTCTACTACTGCCCCAGTAAATAAATGTAATAAGAAGACCCGATAGACCGCTTCTAGAATGAGCTTGCTGATCTCATTCAGGGATAAATTGAGTGGAATGACCTTATTAACATTAATAATTTTGAACAGATGGATGCAGAAATTAAGTAGTTAACAAAACGACAGTGACTAACACAGACATTGTATCTATTTGTGAGATATGTCTGGATAAACAAGAATTCTCTTCAGAAAAGTATTTGAGATGTGACAGGGAAGATTTAAATGAGAGAAGAACCTTAAAGTTTTATGGGAAATTAGGATTTCAAGTGCTTGAGGCGTTTATCGGTTCCTTCAACCACAACATTCAGCCAGTTTATGCTGAGTCACGAATAAGAAGTATCAAGGTATTTGCCCTAGGCAAAGTGTGCTCCACGGGGCTATCTCTGTTGCCTTCTTCCTCCTCCTCCTTGTGGTCCTCCTCTTCTTTCTCCTCCTCCTCCTCCTCCTTGTGGTCCTCCTCTTCCTTTACTCTTTGTGGTGGAAAATAAATAGAGTTCAATAATGGACAAAAATGGTATTTGCTTCAGTTTTTCTTTTGTGTATGTACTAACACGTGTGTGGACCTGGGTGGGTTTGTTTGTTTATTTGTTTGTTTGTTTGTTTTTGTTTAAACCTTACAGTCTACTTTGGGATATCTGCAATTTTTCTTCAGTTAGAATTTTTTGGTGAAAGTAACAGTGTCTCACAAAATTACCAGGCCCAGAGAGTCAGCTAATCACTACCCCATGGTTCCTCAGTGGGTTCCTGTGCACACTGCAGAAAGTAACTGAGCTAAAGAGTTGTGACGACAGGCGGAGAGCATGTCAGTATTTAAGAATAATTCTGCTTGATGAATTCTCTGTTGAGGACAAGCTGGGATGTTAGGAAGCAGCTAGGCTGGCAATGGAAAAGCGTGGTCAAGGGCGAGGGGCAGGCCCGGGAGTCATGTGACATTCGTACTACGTGAACCTGATGTGTTAGTCCTTCCACATTCTTTCAGGTGTCTCCACAACCACTGAAGTAGTTTTTGTTGGAAATATGGGTCTTTTGAGAAGGAGTTAGCTTTACCAACCTACTTCTGCTACAGTTTCTTAGTAGTGGAAACATTCATTGTGTATCCCCACCCTCAAACCTCCAGCCCCCTGTTCCGAGACTGTCTGTAGCTCTGACTGGCCTTTGTGAATTTCCTTCCTATGCCTCCTTAGTTACAGGCATGTGTCACTAAGCTAAACTTTTTTTTACTCTAATTCTCTTTGGTATTTTTTTTTTAAAGATTTATTTATTTATTTTATGTATTTGAGTACACTGTTGCTGTCTTCAGACACACCAGAAGAGGGCATCAGACCCCATTACTGATGGTTGTGAGTCACCATGTGGTTGCTGGGAATTGAACTCAGGACCTCTGGAAGAGCAGTGCTCTTAACCACTGAGCCATCTCTCCAGCCCTCTCTTTGGTATTAAAAGATGAAAATACTCAGAGAAGTGGGCATGTCTGGTTATAAGGTTTACAATTAGTGAATTTCACATATCACTTAATCTGGCCCTTACAATAAACTTGTAAAGTAGGCAAAGTAAATAATTTTAACTCCTGATTTACAGACTCACAGGAGAAAGATAGTTTTTGCTTAGAGAAATAGAAAAGGTTTTATGGCATTGGGCCTTCAGCATAAAGTGTTATGTTAACCCTGGAGCTTTGATTAACTAAGGGATAAATATTTCAGTTTGGTTTTCTTTGACCTTCAGAAGCATAATGAAGTGTTCGCATGGTTCTGTCCATAATCTGAAAGAGAATGTATATGCTTATTCTCAAAACAAGTTTGGAAATTTTATTTTTTTGCATTTGATGTAGTGTGTGTGTGTGTGTGTGTGTGTGTGTGTGTGTTATCTTATGTAGCTTAGATTGACCTTGAGTTTCTGGTCTTAATGCCTCCATCTCTCAAGTACAGGGACACTGGTATGTACCATCATGACTAGTTGCCTTTTTAAAAAGGAAGAGTTAGAAACCTCTCTTTTAAGCCTATTTGCTTTCAATCTTATGCTTACAAATTATGGATGCAAGGCTCATGGATCAGACTAGGTGACTTTTTAGCTTCTAAGCAATTCTGCCCTTCCAGGGAGCCAGGCCCCAAAGCTTGAGTGTTCCCTAGCTCCCCGTCCTTGGACATCACACCCCTGAGAGAGTCACGAAATTCTGGTGGCTTGCCATTTAAAAATCTATCCAGAATCTGACCTCTTCTCACTACCATTCGCACCAACACTCTAGCCCAGGCCACCTTTGTGAGGGGACCCAGGGACAACTCAGAGGAATTAGCTCCTCACAGTGAACTCTGCCTGTCATCCTTGGCTGCAAGCACCTTTGCTACTGAGCCATCTCAATGGTCCCACAATTCCCCTTGATTCGTCTGTCTTCTCGCCTGCTAGAGGAGTTGATATATGATGCCAAATCGTTCTTACACTCTCACTGTTTTTAAACTGCATGGTCTGTTACATAGGTCCTAAAATGTCTTAGTTCCTCTGTCATGGTTGCCAAGGTAATTAAGTTTGTATAAGGCAATAAGCAGCTGCCAGTTCTATTCTTGTCTTATAGGTACTGGATATTTGTTTGCCAATATTAGCGTGCTGTGCTTTTCATAAGAGAAAGCTAACAGAAGCTTTGGGGATGGATCTTAGATGTTTATTACAGGAGACTTAAGTGCTTTCAGTGTCCACGAGGGCAGCCGTTGCAGGATTAGCGTTCCTGTGCCCTGTGTACTGCACTCGGGGGCTCCTTTCCACGAGGGCAGCCGTTGCAGGATTAGCGTTCCTGTGCCCTGTGTACTGAACTCGGGGGCTCCTGTTAATATGCTACACTTCTGCTTCCCACAGTAAACTTGAGAGAGCATTTATAAGAACTTTATTCTGATGCAGTAAAGTGAGGGATTTTTGATCAAAATTCCTTTTCTCATTTTACCCCCAAGGGATAGTTTTCGTATGCCTACAATTTATCCTCTTAGTTTTCCTTTTTTTTTTCTCATTAAAAACATACATCATATGTAATCTTAAAAGGAAAAAAAAATCTAATGGCCTTAAAGTGGCTTACAGGATCCTCCGTGGCCTGGCGTCCCCTGCCTCCAGGCTGTCTCCTGACAGGCTGCTTGTTCACTACGCTCCTGTGTCCGCCTCTCTCTACTTACATGTGCATAAGGCGGTACACTGCCCTGAGTTCTGTGGTAATCTGACCACAGGGGAAGATGTCCTCCCCCCAGCATGACCAAACCCCTCACACCTGACCTTTTTTCTTTTTCCTTTTTCTTTTTTTTTGTTTTTTTTTTTTTTTTTTTTTTTGAGACAGGGTTTCTCTGTGTAGCCCTGGCTGTCCTGGAACTCACTCTGTAGACCAGGCTGGCCTCGAACTCAGAAATCCACCTGCCTCTGCCTCTCCAGTGCTGGGATTAAAGGCGTGCGCCACCACCGCCAGGCCTAATCTATTTTTAATAATTGCACATCTGTATACTATTGCTAGGATGTAAATTCCATGGAATTAGGATCTTTTTCTGTTTGGTTTGATGGTAGTTCTCAAAGAAAATAGCACAGTGTCTAGCACACAGTAGGTACTCAAATCTTGGCAGGATGCTGAGCTGTACTATGTGTGAGCCTAAAGGGACACGTGTACTTATAGTCTTACCATTTGCTGTTTAAACTCCTTTACACTCATGTCATAGTGGAACTCCTTCAGTGCTTAACGCATGAGCTCAAACTCAGACAACCCAAGAGTGATGAAGTGACTACCAGTGTGGGCCGTTGGCGGGAGGGGGATGTGATGGTGGCTGCTCTGACACTTTAGATCTACACTGACACTACAAGACAGATGGCGGGTCTGTCTCTAGCGGAGCTGCGCCTCCATGTCAGCCTGAGAAAGTGCCTGTGAGAACGGGTCTTGGGTGAGGATTTGTAGCATGGCCACAGATCGGCTTAACTCGGGTCATGTCGTCTAGAAATGACAGTGATTCTGTAAGTTTCCGTACTGCCATGAACCAGTCCATCCCGAGTATGAAGAAGACAGTTTGGTTTCAATTGCTGTCATTGACTCTTATCCCTCCACACGACACTCAGCAGCTCAGCAGCTGTTTTCTTTGACTCAGTACTGGCCACTGGCCACTGTGTGACCTTTGTTCTAGGCTTTAGGCTTTAAATCACAAAAAGTCTTTCTCAAGATGATGGGCGTGGAAAACATGTAATGTATTCTTCATTAGCTATGTTACAAAATGTTTTAAGACAAGATCTTACTGTGGTGTAGGCTGGTTTCAGAATTTTTGTTTGTTTTGTTTGTTTGTTTGTTTGAGACAGGGTCTTTCTGGGTAGTCCAGGCTGTCCTGGAACTCACTATGTAGACCAGGCTGGCCTCAAACTCACAGAGATCCACCTGCCTCTGCCTCCTGAGTGCTGGGATTAAAGGTGTGTGCCATCATCCCTGACTTGGTTTCAAATTCTTAGTCTTTCTAGTTCACCCTCCCA